CATTATAACCATGTTGTCAGAAGTGGGATTATTTTGAGTAAAAATAAACTTCAAGATGACGACAACACAAGTACGAAGCGAAATCAGATTCTGGTGGAACTGTAGAAAGGAGATTAAGAAGAAAAAACAGAAAATTAAAAGAAGAACGAGAAGAGATATATAGGAAATTAAAAGAAGGTCAAAAGGTAAGATACGGGAGTTAAAGAGAATAGTTACAAGAAAGAGACTTAATATTTGAAGAACTATTTAAAACAAAAATAACTCTGTTTGAAGACAAGAACGATGAAGCTATTCGATGTGTAAAAATTGACTAAAACAAGATTGAAGAAATCCAGAAAGGCTAACAAAATTGAATAAAAACAGAAAACAGGAATTAGCTGGACTTATGGGACAAAGTTCAACTTAGAACTCTCAACTGAAATGATAAGTTCATTAATTAAAGAAACCAACTTATGAATCCGGAGGGTACATGATGGGAAGTCTTGCACTATGTTGATCAACTCTGGTTCTTCAGCTACCATAGTTCGACCCGATTTGGTAACGAAAGGTGGGGAACTGAAGAAAAAAATAGGGATTGATACAGAGAACATTTGGACATAAAGTTCCTGCTAGGGGGGGGGGGAGTTGGAAGTTACCCTCAATGTGGGAAGCTTCTCTACACGTCATGATTAACATCTGGGAAGAGTCCACGTTGGGAAATGATTTCATGTAGAAACATTGATGTGAGGTTAGGCTTGCTTCAGTCTATGACCAGGAAACCCTAGTGTAGAACATTACAAGTTGAACTTTCAGTGACAGTATCGTTTGGTTTAGAATCTAGTATTAATGTTGTAGGTGGAGTTTTTAATTTAATTTTCTGTTAAGTCAGCTATTATTTATCGTAAAGTTTTATATATATATGTGTGTGTGTGTGTATGTATATATATATATATATGTGTGTGTGTGTGTGTGTGTGTCTGTATATATATATGTGTGTATATATATATGTGTGTGTGTGTGTATATATATATGTATGTGTGTGTGTGTGTATATATGTAGTGTGTGTGTGTGTATATATGTGTGTGTGTGTATATATATATATATACAGTATGTGTGTGTGTATATATATATATATATATGTGTGTATGTGTGTGTGTATATATATATATGTGTGTGTGTGTGTGTGTGTATATATATATATATATACAGTATGTGTGTGTGAGTGTGTGTGTGTTTTCTGTTCTTGTACTATTATTATTTTGAATATTCAAAATATAAGAAGTGTTAACATATGATGAATAAGTAACTAGTTTTATGCACACACACCGACTCAGTGATAAATCTGTAGGCTTTCGTCACTAAAAATCGGGTTTCGATACCTGTGATGGGTAGGGTACAGATAACCCATTGTGTAGTCTTGTGCTTAACAGCAACAAACCGGACCAAGTTAGTTTCACTGAGTTGTTATCAAAATAAAATAAATATCCTAACTGTTATTTTAGATTTTTGGAAGATCGTGGCATTCTGCTCTTAACGCTGATGTTAGAAGATCGTGGCATTCTGCTCTTAACGCTGATGTAGGGGAGGACCGTTTATGATGGGATGGGCTATATATATTATTTATTTGATGCTTAAAATGAGGCTTAATGGTATACAAGGTAATTTTTAGTCTTCCAAAGTATGTTACAAATAACAATGAAAAGCGAGCTTTAGTCTATGGATTAAGATTTAATATTCAAACAACTTGAAATTTGAAGTTTATTATCTAGAATTGGAGCGGTTTTTACTATCTGTCTCTCTAAATGTGATGAATCTTTTACCGATATTAGAAGTCAAGTTTGAGATATAATTCTCACAGGTTTTAATAATTGTTATTAACGTTATAGAATTTTTGTAAAACTTAAGAATTGTCAACTGTGAAGAAGTTAAGTAAAATTACAATATTGTTATCTATAAATCTCATAAAAGAAATTGTTGTGTATAAAGAGGAATACTGAAGACATTTTTAGTGATTCAACAAAGTTACTTTTAATCCTACTAATACCAGAGACACGCTAACAAAGATACCAATTCAAACTAAAGAATATTTGTATATTTTAACTGAGAAATAATATCTCGGAACTGTTGATGGTCTTTCGAAGGATTTTCTTTAGGACCTATAGTTTCGTATCTGACCGAACGAAGCTAGGGTATGTGTACCACAGGCTCACTGATTACGGCCGGGATCAACGGCTCGCCTTAGGACTCTGGAAGCTCTTGGGTTCTTGATTAAATTTTAGGCATTCTCCTGCTTTTCCCGAGAGAAATTTTTCACGCTTCCTAACGCCACTGCTTATAATCATGGTTTGGCTGGTTTTTAGTTAATTTCCTGAAGACTCTACTGATGATTATGCCTTGAAAAACAGTTTTGAGTTTTCTGATGAAGAACATTCAGTTTTAACAGAAGTTTATTGCGCTAGCTTTGTCGGATGTTGAGTCTTTCTACATGTATACCTTTAGAATCAACCATACAGTTAAGTACTGATTTGATTTCTAGCCGGATGTTGAGTCTTTCTACACGTATACCTTTAGAAGCAACCATACAGTTAAGTACTGATTTGATTTCTAGCCGGATGTTGAGTCTTTCTACACGTATACCTTTAGAAGCAACCATACAGTTAAGTACTGATTTGATTTCCAGCCGGATGTCGAGTCTTTCTACACGTATACCTTTAGAAACAACCATACAGTTAAGTACTGATTTGATTTCTAGCCGGATGTCGAGTCTTTC